AGAAATAGAGATAAAGTCTGATGAACTTTAATATGATAAAATTGACCAATCACAACACTCTATGAAGGAATTTCAAAAGTACCCCCCTAAAATAGTACCCTCCTCCGTACACAGTACCCCAGGGTACTATATTCAGTGCTCTACGGTACACATATGTTTAATACATCGTACACAATGACTTTGATTGTAAGAACATATTTTACTAAAATTGAGTAAATATTATCTATTCTAAAAATGATTCCGATGGTCGAATTGAAGTATTCTTTAGAGAATACGCCGATCGACGAGTTATAATGGGAAAATATACTCTATATTTTGATACGCTTAAATTAATAAAAACATTTCAAAGTTTACCCACATTAAATCACCGAAATCCCCAAGATGCCCCAACCAACGCTTGGTGATTTCGGTGTTTGGGACACAGAGTCTTTCCACATTGTGTGTTCATTATCCCTCCATGTTCGGAGATTACGCACATGCCGGTTATATGCATGTATGTCATTAACCAGTTTGCTCTCTCAATCAAATCGTAATTTTTCCTAGGATGTTGATCTGCAACAATTTCCTGAGATATTTTTTAACATCTTCTGCACTCAAATGATCGAAGTGGTCCATTATGTTAGAACCGAAACTACTATTAACTACTGGATCTTTACCTGTAGGAACCCAAACATCCCCTTTTATATCAGGATAGCCATAACCCGAACCGTTAGGATTTTTCCATCTCAACCTTTAGGTGGTTCATAGCCAACTTCCGAAGTTGGTTGTAAGTCAAAACTGCTCGGATTGTTGCTTTCCATGGGTAAATTTTCCTGCAAAAGCGGATGCCGCAAAAATGGGTAGCGTTCTTGACGAATTACGTCTTATAACGAAAGTCTTAATGCAAACGTAAGTTAAACCCAACGGAAAGATAACGTACAGCTTTCTATGGCAATAATGCTCAAGTTATAATGTTTTAGCTATTTTAGTAATTATAGTGGTTAAATATAAATATTTCTTTTTATCGTATTAGTCATTACCCTCTTTGATCATATTCTCACGATCAAATATAACACAGTGCGTTCTCATCAGTACCTCCCCTGCCATATTTTAGTAGTAGGTAGTTTGCCAAATCTGGTAATAGATTGGGGGAGGTATAGGAGAGGTAATTTACCTCCCTGAATGTTAAGCTATCTCCCCTACCAAGTTTAGTAACGAAATGTTACCAAATCTGGTACTGATTAGAGCACCCTACATCATAATAGGCTTGCGTCTTATGCCTGACCCATTTTGAGCTAGTCAATAACGATACTTCCC